AAAAAAAAAAAAAAAAAAACTACAAAAGTAGTAAAATAACTAAACTTAACAATGAACACCAAAAGTCTTATATTTAACTAAAACTCTGAAAGACATGAAAGACTTGAACAAAGAAAAGATCTCTTATTCCTGAAAAAGAAAGCAACAAAGGCAGATGGGTCCTACCAAATATTTAAAGATATATGAAGTTCAACAAGTAAAACAGTGTGGTATTAAAATTAGAATTATGGAAACAACCTAGTAAAATGGAATGGACAATCCAGAAATATACCAGGTAATGTCAAAAGTTAAGCATAGGATAACACATCAGTTAATGTCCAAGGTTAAGCACTGGAACAAGACAGGTTATTTAAATTGTGGAGAGACGACTGGTTAATAGCTTAGAAAGGACAAACTTAAAACAATGCAGACTACACACAAGGATAAACTCCACACACAATAACTTAGAAGTGGAACAAGAATATAAGTGTAAAAAGTGAAATCTACAACTGCCAGAAGAAAATATGGATGAATTTCTCTTTAACCTGAGGAAAAGGTTTTCTTTCTATTAAGGAAAAGCTTTAAAAGAAAACAAGTTTTTTTTTTTTTTTTGAAAACAAGTTTTTAATTGTAATTCAAAACCCTGATATGATTTTTTTTTTAAAGGGGAACATAAAATTGACTGCACGTGGAGGGGTAACTTTTATATGGCCAAAAAATATATATATATATACACAAAGAGAAATACTACATATTTCAATAATAAGGGCTAAAACATAATAAAGAACTCTTCAGAGTTGAGAGCATAAGATCAAAACCCATTTTAAGATTTGTTTTATTTATTTGTGCATTCAAGAATTGGGGTATGGAGGGTGCGGGAAGATGGTGGTACATGAAAGATTCACCAGAGACAGCATGGCGAGCAGAACAGGTATACTAACTGAAATAACACTGCTCAAGAGAGCAGCAGGAGAAACAGGAAATGTCTGCTGTGCAATGTGATTTAACTCCCTGGACAGGGATCAAACTCATGCAGCAGTGGCTACTGATAGCTTCATAACGCTAAAACTTAACCCCTTGTGCCACCAGGGAAACTCCAAAACCCATTTTAAAAATGGGTCCAAAAATGGACATTTCATACATATACCACATAAAAACAAAGGATTAAACAAATGAAAATAACTATATTTATAATACAATTGTAATGAAAATTGCAATGCAATATAATTTCTCACCTATTAGATTAGCAAAACTGAAAAAGAGCAACTACTGCTGTCAAAGCTATGGAGAAATAGGCACTCATAATTACTGGAGTGAATACAAACTGATACAACCATTACGGACAATAATTTAGCTGTGTATGTGTTTATGTCTTGACACAGAAGTACTACTTCTCTTTATGTAATCCTGAAGATACACATTTAGAAAAATGATAATTAAGCAGAAAATAAAGGCACAGGTTATCCATGACTATCCTCCTGAAGATAGCAAAATACTGAAAACAAATACATAGAACAAAGATTGAATCAATTATGCAATACTATGTAGCTGTAAAAAAGGCTGAGAAAAATCCCTGAACTGATATGCAATGATTTCCAGGATATATAATCAAAAGAAACAAAGTGGAAAAGAGCCTGTAATATATGATCTTTTGTGTACAAAAGAAACTACACACACACACATCCTCATTTGTGAAAAAGAAAGCTAGAAAAATAAACCAGAACGTAACAAAATGAGCTATCCACAGGGAGTAAGTAGAAATAAGGCAGAGGAAATATGGAATGACACATGTATTTCTGATTCATGGAACCATGTGAGCATTTCACAGACTAAATAACAACAACCAAAAAAAACTGAAGTTTAAAAGAATGGGGGTAAGAGTCTAAAAAGGCATAAATACAAAAATAAGATGAATCAAATTTTATTTCAAATAAATAGCTCAACCATGCTAAAGGGAAAATTTTAATTAAAAAAAATAATATAATGATGGTAAGACATAGTAAAGCACTCTGGAGTCAAACAACTTGGATTTAAATACTCGTCCATATAGCCACTCTTATAATCTTGTTTTCTTACCCAAATAATAGTACCAATCTCACAGTATTAATGGTAAGCCTCAAATAAATTTACTTATGTAAACTGCTTAGAGATGGCTTAGGAAATAATAACAACTTGGTATTTGCTATCATCAACTAATCCAAGAAACATTAAATGTATGATTATTCAAAAGTCCTTGAAAAAAATCACAATTTCCTAGTTTGTGGCAGTAAGAGCTCAAGAAATATAGAACAGCAAAATTGATATGGCTGACTGGAATCACCTGGGGAGTTTCATAAAGGAAAATGTGGCATGGGCCTTTCTATTATGCTCACAATGAGAGTGATGAAGGGAAGCTGAATAAAAACATAAAGACAATAAAAGACCTATATATTTCGTAACAGTGATGTAGAAGGTTTGAAAAGCTGTGCATTTGTAGGTAAGGCAAGACAATGGAGGCTCCTGAAAGTACAATTGAATCTGGATGGCATTATAACCTAGACTATGAGGAACCGTCAATTTGCATGTAGCATAAACAACGTGAGTAAACTATTCGAATGTTGGTGTGTGGAAGGGAGTGAGGTGAAAGATCAGAGGCTTACCAGTGGTTAACCCAGTAATGATAAGGGTCTGACTATAATAGTGGTGATGAGAAAGGAAAAGGTAGAGATCAACAAGATACTGTGGGGTGAGAATGGGAAAGGTACACCACATTTAATAATGATTAAATATAAGGGAGGAGAGAATACAACAGTCTGAATGCCAAAGTAAGTGATAAAACTAGAAGAAAAAAGCAAAAAGGAATGGAAACTACTGGGAAACAATTCCACTGATCAATAGGAAAGAGTTCCACTGGCTTGTAAAAGTCCAGTCAAGGCTAGGTAAAAAGTCTAGTCAATGTGATAGTACCACATTCGGACATCAAAGTCCAGTGGGTATTTGGCAATATGGGACTAATATGATTGGAACAGAGATGAAAAATGGAGACAAAGACTTTAAAAATTAGTTTACAGAATGATAACATATCCATTAAGACTGTGTACTATCTCAGCACAGTGATCACTCTTATTTGTTTTTATATCTCTTAATGTTTACCATTGTGCCAATAACATGGCAGTCTCAATAAAATGTTTCAGAGGTGGGATGAGCAAAGAAGGGAACAGAGTTGATAACTTGTTGATGGTATCTGACTCCCAGGTCTCGATTCCACTACACCATAACATGAAAACGACCTTCTGAACATCCACTAACAGTATGTGCTAAAGTGAGGGTCTTACAAATGAAAACAAACTCAACTTCGGGGGTTATTTGCTTCCAACTGAAAAAAAATGAAAAAGACATAAAAGACAGCAAAGGTCAGTTGTCGAGAACAAATAGGATAGTCATAAATTATAGATTCTAAGGAAATTTTTCAAGAAAGCAAGCATATTCAACTGGGTCAAAAGATCACTGTGTACAAGCAGTCATTTCTCTGGTCTCCTACAGCAATGAAACACAAGAAAGATAGAGGTCATTTTGTAAAAGCATCAATTAAGAAAGTTTAATTTATCTGCCACACCATTTATATACATAAATTACACAGAGTGGCTGAAAAATAAATATTGCATTTCAGTAAATTTATCTCTACAAAACGCACAATGAAAATAAAATTGTTACAGTGGTTTTCAAATATTTGCACAATATATGAAACCTGACGGAAAAGAATACAGTAATTTATATATATTAATAGCAACAAAAAACATAAAATACCAAAGGTTTTACCTTAAATCTCTTGTCCTGCAATACTTTCTTGATGGCAACCAGTTCTCCTGAATCACAAAGTTTAGCTTGATATACCACACCAAATGACCCATTTCCAATTACTTTAGTGTCTGTATAGCTGACTTCTTGTGGCCTGTCTGGACCCTGCCCAGGAGTTGCCACCACTGTGGTCACCTTGCTGCCATCCTTATCTCCTAAAGGAAAGAAGGGATAAAATATTAATAACTATACAGAATTAAACAGAGAAAAGTATATATAATAACTCTATTCTTTATCACAAACTATTTGTAAATGCTCATCTTGCTTTATCACACAGAATTACTACAATTTGTTTTCAAGTAATCTGACAACCATTTGACTTAAGTCATTTGCTAAACAAGGCACCATGCTTTCTTTATATACGTGACTTCATTTAATGAAAGCCAAAACCTCATGTAGTAGATAATGCTGTTTCTTTATTACAGGTAATGGAATATTAATAAATATTTCCAAGATCAAAAAAAGATAGACCCAGTAGGTCTGAATCCTTATTTGACTAACTCCAAAGACTTCTTTCTTCAAGGCTTCTTTTATGTTACTTGAAAATAAAAAGGTACACCCAGAGCACACTGCCTTTAGGAAGATTATGTTTTGAGTGTTTCCATATCTTATCTCTCCTTAATAACAGAGTACCTCTCCAATGGGAGAAAAGGAACATGAGAAAGAATGCTAATTTGGGGACAACAAAAGTAAAACTTAAAAGAATGAGCCTCATTCACAAGTACCTACTGGCTCTGGGTCTCTGCTCACCCATGGCCTTCTACTTACACTTTTTACCTTCCCTCATCCCCTGTAGGAATCCAAAGACTCATCAATTCAAGCTCAAAAGCTTCCCCCCAACTAATCTCAATTCGCAATCACTGTTTTCTTAATTCTTATACTACATTAAACCATGTAATACTATATGTCAAGCACTTAATTTTAAAGAATTTTACACTGTTCTAAGTGATTCCAAAATGCAGAAGGTAACTATAACCATTGTGATGTAGCAATTATGACTCATGTTTTTTCTGTGTCCTACAACTCTAAAACTAATTATCAGTACAGTATAGTCCTTAGGCTCACTTTCTAACCTGTACTTTTTCTTCTGCTATTCTTCCATTTTATCAATCCTATTTTTAAAATGTTCTAGATTCATACTAAGAAAAAATAATATACTTACCTCTGGCTAACAAGTTAAGATTAGCGTATTCATTTGTACCTTACATATAAAAAGATCAAAAATATAACTGATATTCAATGATTGGGTACTTTTTCACCTATCAAATATAAAATTGCCAGATAAATTAATACTCCAAAGTGTCATATTGTAGTATCTACAGACATTTAAGTTCATAGAAGTATTAATGTAGACAACAATAGGTAGTATCTGTGATTAAGGAACTCTCTTACCAGAAAGTTTTCATAAACAACAATACCACAAGTGATTCCTGCATTCTCATACTAACTCACAGCTCCTTATTCCTTCATTCAGCTATGGTTTTAATGAGAATGATATAGGTAAAGTTAGATTGTCTGAAATGATCCCTGCTATTTATTTTCTTTAGACAATTGAATTAGAAGAAAATGTATTTAATACATTGTACTTTTGATCTTTCTGTATCTCTTCATTTATTTTTAAAAAAGTAGTATATAATATATCATGGTCAGCTATTTTAGATATGTATGCATTTACTTCCAAGGTCAAAGACCCAAACACTTATGATGATTTTGTTAAATCTGAATTTAGAACAGCAAACTTCACATCTTGTCAATCTACCAATTTTTACAATATTACATACGCTTTAAGTGTAAACAACCCCCAAAAAAGGTTAACAGATAACAGTTCTCAAAGTTTTCAAATGTTCTCTTCACATTTCACTCCTAGTAAGATAAATTTTAAATGTATTTGCTAAAAACCTAGTTCTTAGGTTTTTAAAAGTTTAAAAGTTAGGTTTAAAAGTTCAGTTTGACACTTGAACCTAATCCAAATTGAAATCATAATGCTCCATTTCCAAAAAAACCCTTATTGCATTCAATTCTGACCATGTTACTCTTAACTTGCTTTGGGTTAACCATAAACCTTATTGTAAGTTATTTACTTTCTCATTTGTAATATAAAACTATCCTTACCTGAAATATAGTATTCCTAAAAACAAAGTCAGTCTTTTGAACTTAAACTATAAATGAAGAGACAGAGAAAGATTAAAAATTTAATGTATTAGATACATTTTCTTCTAATCTAATTGTCCTAATGAAAATAAAGAGCATGGGGTGATTTCAAACAATCTGACTTTCCCTAAAGCATTCCATCAAAACCATAGCAGAATGAATGAAGGAAAGAGGCACTGTGAGTTAGTAATTCTATAAAGCAAGTTGCTTGCAAGATATCACAGGTCTTATAAAAAAAAACTCATTAAATAAAGATAATTTAATAAAGAGTTTAAGAATGGTTATTGTTTTAACTGAAAACAAAAGCTGTTTGGGGATATAACCTAAAAGTATTCTAGTCTATTGCAAACTATATTTCATTAAAGATAGTAGCAATAGTCTACTTGCTCTGGAGTAAGAGAACTTAAGCAATAAAAGCTTTTGTAATGGCATTTTCCACTTGCCTTCTCAAGATGCATTTCTTATAACCTTCACATTTCAGAAAAATGGTTCTATGGGTTCAACAATCAGTTGTGAAAGTTATCCTCACAACTCTGGCATTAGCATCTCCTTCAACCTTAACTATTAAGCCTAAGAAATTCCACCCTAGAATCTCAATTTCTATTCAGAAAAAAACACAAATGAGATGATTCTGCTAAAATATCAGAAAAATAAGGAAATATTACAAGGTAAGTATATGCCATTGATGCTGTAAGTGAACAAGACCCACAAGGTCTCTTAATTTTAAACTGCAATTAGATATAGACATGTATTGTCCATTTGTTCTCTTGCACAGCTAGAGATAGTTCAGACCCTCCTTGGTGGTGCAGGGGGTTAAAGGGCAACACTGTGAAGCCATGGCTGCTTGGTACAACTTGGATCCTGCCCAGAAGGTGACCCACTGGCGCACAGAGCTCTCCTGTTTTGCCTGTTGCTCCCCTCAGCAGTGTACTTTGTCCATCTGCCTGTTCTGCTCCCCACTCTGTCTCTGGTGAATCCTCTCACTGACCCTGCACCTCTGGCCTGTACCTCAGTACTGTATGCATAAATAAATCTTTTTTTTTTTTGGGCATAAATAAATCTTTTAAAAAATAAATTAAAAAAAATAGTTCGTAACAATTCAGTGGAAATTATTCTTGTTCAAGCAGTTAAAGAAAGTGCTGAGAACTCTTACAAGATATACTCTATTACAATATCAAAACCCAAATATACTAGGAATAATGGCTGTCAGGCTTTCTACCACAAGTACCCTAGAAATCACTAAGTTCTTTAGACTGCTCCACCGGTGCAGTCAAATAGCAGAGCCATAAAGAATGACAAGATAATGCTGGGTATAACTTGGCTTGAACAGTAGTAACACATGGAAAAGTCAGCAGTCAATGTGCCAAGGAAAAGTATGTCACTATTTGGCATTGTAATCTGCTGACATAGCAATAAAATTAACAGCTATATAAAATTTAACTGTTGACAAAGAACTTTCCAATTCTTTGTTTCATCTACCTTAGTATAATTAATTGTATGTATGATATGTTGTGTTTACTGGATAAACAAAGTAAAACTAAGGGACACCAGCTTGTCCAATATCATGTTTTTAATGCAACAGAAATCTTTATTTGCCTTATGCTATACATCTCTGTTATATTTCACAAATTTGCTACGACTACTGAACAGTTAAGCCCAATTATTACTGTCTCCTCCCCAAACAATAAGTTTTTAAACTTATCCCAAAGCAAAGTCATATGAAAAAGAAAAATGCAAAACAAGTGATTCTGAGATGTTCAGCATTTCTTACTTGAAGCCAGGTAACTCTGAATTATATCAATAGGGAAGTAAGGATAGGCATAACTTCCAAGAAACCAAAATCTTCAAGAAAAGCTAGAAACTAAGGTTTCCAACAAGAATGCCCCTTAAAAAAAAATCACCACTTTGCCCAATGCTCAATTTCTCGGGATACAAGATATAGAGAATCTCACTCTAAATTATAATAAAACTGTTCTCCAAAATACACCACTATCTCTCAGTAATAGCATAGCAATGGGAACAGTTTGGCTCTTGGCCCTCTCTCTCGCCAGATGACTCCTGGGATACTCTACTACAATGAAAATTCACTCAGGTGGTATGAATTTCCTAGCATAATTAGAATATGGAATCAAATCTTCTATTCTTTTGACACAATATATAAATCTTAATTATATAATGAATGTATGAATCCTTATGAAGCAATGGAAAAATGGTGCATAACAGAACAACTACTTTCTATTGAAGACTGTTAAATATAGAAATCAATTTTCATAAAACTTAGGAATATCCCAAAATGATAGATGCCAGCTTAGTTCTCAACCTCTCAACATAATTTTCTATCTGTAAGCAACATATTGTGGATATATATTTTTAAAGTAGTTCCAAGTCATTCATCAAAGCAGTCCATCTTGTGGTGAACAAATGTTACATCAGACAACAGTTCATATATACAAAGGACAGAATGAGCATCCTAAACCCAAAAGACCACTTCAAGCATCTTTAAATAGTTAAAAGATACCTGGCACTAACATTCTAATTTTATATGAATGATAAATTTCAAATTGAACATACTTTGGCCACTTAATTTAATGATTCTTTTCCTAAGATTGTGAGCTAAAAGAAAACTGCCTTTTATTAAAAGGTTAGAGACATTAATAAGTCACACCAACATTACAAATTTAGCATATCACTAACAGTCCTTGTGAAATCTTCCCATAACCAAGACTAATGTCTTCATGCAGAAACAACAGAAAATAACTTAAATCTGCTCCAAAAAGAGGAGTCAGCATACCACCTGTGACAACAGGTAATACAAAGTGTTTTCAATAGTTTACATAATACTTCTAATACAGGGAAAATAGCATTGCCTATTCTTTATCAGGAAGAGAAGTAACAGCTAGTGTTTTGTAGAAGTTTAACAACAAAACAGTAAACACACTGTTGAAATATCTATACATCTCAAAAGCAAAAGAGCCTTATTTTCAGGCATGACTTGAGAGATTAT